GACCCTTACACTTGAAGTGCCGGTCGAAGCAATTTTAAGCCTCATGCGAGCTGCAAGAGACTCCAAATAGATGAATTATGATTTTTAAACATATAAATGAGCATTAAACATATATCGGGCTGTTAGTACGACTCTTCTCGGGCAGGGTTGAATCGATATCAATCTTGATCCCGTGTTCAGTACACATATCAGGAGGTCCAAATGTGCGTCATGAACTACAAGAATTTGAACGCAGTCCCATTAAATTCAAATGGACTCCCAACACATACCACATCAAACATGATTTAATAAGCATCCAAACGTAACCAAGTTTCGGCACTCGGATCACAGCCGTAAATCAGGCTTCGCCTGTATGACAGGCGGCTGCGATAGGAGAGCGCACGTGCCCTCTCCGCGCTCAATAATCGCTGAAAAGGCATTTCTCCATCGAGAACCAACGGAGATGCAACGGCTAAGCTTTAGGATTGATGGAAGCAAGGAATATTGCAAACAAGCCTATTTCCCAAATTGCTCCATTGTAGATGGCGGCCGAGCAGCGAAAGCTGACCGAGAAGCCGAAACTCCGTCAGCCATGGATTTGTCCCCGGCGGCTGTCACGGCTTGCCCAGCTAATGCCTTCGTCTACAACTTAACCCTCTGCGCGTGCAATCCCGGCCTCTTCCTTGCCACTGATGGCTGCAAGCCTCTCACAGCTGTCGGTGGAGGTGGCGAGGAATGGAAAACGAGTTCGGGTTTGGAGGAGCAACCGACGTTCTTGTCTAATGTCCTCCCGCTGGAGTCGATCCGGCGGCTGACGCGGTCGCAGGAGGCGCTTCTTGGCGCGACCTTTGTTGCGCTCTTCGTCTGGCTAGCCCTTTGCCTTGCCGTGCGGTTTGGTAGACTCGGCGACGGCGAGACAGTTTGGTTCCGCATCCGTTGGTGGATTAGTCGTCTAGATGTCTACTTCTATACCAGGCATTGGCTGGTTTGATTTTTCTCTTGTACTTTTGCTGATTCCTCTTGTTTCATTCAGTTCGGCGCTCTAAAAAAATTGGGGATATATAATCAGTTTGGTTGGATTGAATGATCGAGGGTCGAGATAGGTTTAATGACAAATGTTATTATAACCCTGGATGTTGAGTATTCTTATGTTATACTGATGTGAAAATAATATATTGATACTAGTTATTTTGATTTTGTAGAGAAATTTTGAGTTTCAACCAAAATTTGAGGGTCATTGAGGTTCTTCCAATTTAGGGTTTAGAAAATTAGAGAGAGGGCGAAGAGATTGCTTGAGGGAGATTGAGCGATTGATTGGAATCTAATATTTGGATTGATAATTAGAGATATAAATTTATTATTTGAATGATTACTTATTTACCTTTATTATGTGGATTATAGCTTAACTTTACAGCCTTTCTCCTTGATCTAAAACTCTCCTTGCATAGGATTGATTTTCAAAATTTTCAAAATGGATTTGGAGGGAGTCTTCGGGTGTTTGGTTTATAGGAATTTGCCTCTACTTACACTATAGGGTTGAGGGATTATTTCTTCCCAACCTAAACTAACCAATGCAAGATCATACAATGTTCCCACCTATTTATGCTAATGGTGGTGAGAGCCTTCTTGTATTTGGTTGCATCTCTTTTTTGGCCAATTATTTGGATGCAATTTTAAGCGTCCACACTCTATCACTTTTAATTTTTCTTTGGGAGTAGGTATATCTTTTCCCCTTCACTTATTTTGGCTTTTTATTAGCAGTCTTATCTTCTTCGAGGAAGCTTTTAGCCTTTTGCTTGTGTCTCTATCTCAATTTCTACGATTATATAAACTTTTCATTTTTATGACCATTACGATAGAATAGAGCTCATATATTTACAATTTTGTTACAACTGATCAAAGAGCTTAGAATATCAAGGCAGCAAAAAGAATCCAACGAAAATTTTATAGTACATCTACTAACATTGAATAATATTAAAGTTATTGTTCATAAGTTTTATTCTAATAACTATTTTCAAAGCACGGAAGAAGCTGTTAAATCATAAAATTATTTTATTCTGAAAATAACAATTTATCTACTAAGGTAATTTCAACAACAAAATAAATTCAAATATATATTACTTGTAGCTCCACATTTGCATTATATAAATTTCTCTGTCTCACTCATCCAAATTCCAAAATTTTTTATTGTAGATATTCATTGTCTAGCTAGTGTAATTTATAATTAACTCAGTGGTTAAATTATAGTATTGAATCACAATAATTACGAAGAAGAAGAAACAACATGCATGCTAGTTTTATAATTAAATTGTAAGAAAATTGCTAAGCATTCTTGTCGTTTGTATATGATCATAGACATTGCTTAACAATCAAGGAAATGTTTACATATGGGATCATATCAATTATCAATCATTCAACTATTGAGAGTGTGAACATATATTGATTATCATGTCTTAACTTGTACTTAAATACATACTGTAATGCTCCAAACTCAAAAGCGCTGTCATCTGATTGATAAGTTTCTTGTCAGCATAATGGGAAGCAGATCATATCCACTATTTTCTGAGGTGAAAATATACCAACTCACTCTTGCCCAATGCAACCCACGTTAGCACAGTAGGACATAGGTCATATTTTTACTATAGTTTGTGATGGAAGGTAAAGTTATTATGTGGATATATTAGCATCTTAAGTTAGTATCACAGGAGAATGAACATCAATTGTAAATATGCATATGTTTTCATTCTCATATAGCTATTCTTTGCTTTATTCTCATCATACATTTACTTTAAGCAAAACAAAATATGTGAACATTTTATGAATTAATCATTTGAGCTTGAAATATGAGAATTACTTAGTGACATCCATATCGATACTAGGATTACTTGAAATGTAGAAATAAGTTTAAACAATTTTCTATAGCAGTCTTTTACTAATGATAAACATTAACAATAGATGCATTAAATTTAGAAGAATAGAACTCGTTACTTCATAATAAAAATGTAATTGCCCACTTTGAGATGTGCAAATATGATTCCTCAACTTTGTCCTTGGCTCATCAAGCGCTTATTCCTATAAACACGATTTAACATATAAGACACATACAATAAAAATTAATTGAATTTTTCTATAATTAAATTTTCTTAAGATTTCTTCATAGTTTAATATCTTAATTCCTATTCACTTCAAGTCTATATGTAATATATCATGTATTATTTTTTACTCGGTACTCTTAAGCATGATTAAATTACTTATTACTTAAAGAAATTTAATATATTGACTTAATTTAAGTATTCATAAATAATTATAAGTACATCATTTTCTTCCAAGAAATATAGATTTTGTTTATTAAAGTTATCCATTCATACAAATATTTTCACTTTATTGAAGCTTGGATTTCATTTTTATAAGAATCATAATTTTTTTTAATTATAATTAATAAAATTCATTGATTATGTCCTCAATTACACAACTCAAACAATTTAAAGTAATATATCTTTAAGCTATTTGTAATTATAGACTTTATTGACCAAATGTTTTCATTTAATAAAATTGCATGTTCTTTTCTTATGCGTATAATTATGACACTCCTCCAATTTTCACATAATAAAATCCCTAATAGACTTTTATGTGGTCACATGTATCAGTTTAAGAAAGGATATCCTATAAGATCATAACCTACAATTGCACTCCAAGTAAAACTAATTTCATTTTAAAGAAACTTGTTTTTTTTGTGCATGTAATTTGAAATAAAATTCCTCTTTCCATGGACTTCTTCTTGCTTGCCAGTTAAATTTTATTTTACGTAGATCCAAGGAGGAGAAAGAGAGAGAAAAGAGAAATTGATGCTCTATTTTGTTTGTTCTCTCTGTTGAAATTTAAAATAATGCAGAATGTTTTTATTGATATAAAAAGGGGTATAAATAATCCTTGCATGAATCATAGAAGATGAAAGACACTCAAAAAGAAATCATAGAGAAGGAAAGATATAACTCCTAATTTCTCCAATTAATCAATTCATATTAATAGTTTTGGAGATAAAGAAAACAACATAAAAATAAGAAAACAACATAAGATAAAGAAAACAACATAAAAATAAGAAAGCCTAAAATAAGAAAGGAAATAAATCTAATCCAAGGAAATAATTTATTCCTCAGAACTTCTCACAGGAGTAAATTATTTCTTCATATAACTTCTAACACTCCCCCAATGTTGAAACATGATTGAAATCATGTTCAACTTGGATTAGAAAACATCAAACAATGGATGAGGAAGATCTTGTGTGGAAAAACTTGAAGTCTTCGTCCCGTAATGTGCTTATCTTTGATTGCAATTCATATAGTGTCTGTAGGTAAGCGGAAGACGCCTCCAAATAACGCTATAAAGGAGTTTGTAGGGAAGTAGTCAATTGCGGTTGTCTTTAACTGCAATTCCTGCAGTGTCTGCAGATAAGCGGAAGACTCCCACATGTAATGCTACAGGAAAATTTGCGAAAAAGTACACAATTGTGGTTGTCTTTGACTGCAGTTCATGCAGTGTCTGTAGACAGGCGGAAGACTCCTATAGATAATGTTGCAAGGGAGTTTGCAGGGAAGTAGAAAACCTGCGAGAAAAACTAGCTTCTAGTTGACTTCTTTTGTCGTTGGTTGCAGCTTTTGCAGGGCCTGTAGGTAGGCGGAAGGTCCTCCAAGTAATATTGTAGGGTATTTGCAAGAAAGTAGACAACCTGTTAGAAAAAAAAAGTGCAGGGTAAAGTCTGCAGAAAAAATATACAAAAGCTCCGGAGGAGGGTCTACTACAGAAAAAGGGTCTGCGGCGAGAAGGGCTTGTAATATTATACTGTTATTTGCAGGGCAGATTGCTGACATATAAGATTTCCGACGACAGAGAAAAAATGGCTGCTACCTGAAGGGAGAGAACCGGTTGTCACTGCTGTTGTTGGACAAGAGTTCTAGCAAACAAGAAGTTTGCAGGGAAAGTTTTGGTGGCAAAGAAAACAAGTGGACTTGCATGGAGATTTTCGACAGTAGGGAAGAAACCGATTGAGAAGGGCATGTGCGTCGGCTGTTGGGATTTCATTCAAGGATACATCAAATCTTGCCTCTGTAATACCCTTTTTTAAGACGTTTTGCGAGCAAACCAACGATGTACTCCATTGTAACAAGCTTCCCTTTGTTTCCACAATCCACACATGTGAAATAATGAAAGATGCCACGGAGGCGGATGCAGTCGCAACTTTCAACAGTAAAGAATATAAGTTGAAACCTATACGGGGGAAAATGACAAAAATAGCTCCTCCCCTCTGTCCACTTTTGTTGCGAAGACAAGTATGGGAAAATAATTTCCCCTCTTCGGTTGGGAGTGCCATTGGAGAGAGAAAGTCCTGCTTTTCGAACATTGGTGGCGAGTCTTCGATAGGATTTCCACAATACAGAGAAAGCAAATCACACATAGGAAGTTTTGTTGATAAAGAAAGCCGCAGGAGAAAGGGGAAGGGAAAAATACTGCAGGAGAAAGGACCGACGACGGATTAGGTTGTAAGAACCAACACTGGATTTTTTTGGAAGAACAATAGGAAGCAACACTGGATTTCTGGAAAAAAAAAACTTTGTTGTTTTCTGCGAATGGGAAGAACAAAAAAAAATGCTTTGTTTCTAGCGGGAAAGCACTATGGGTAAGAATGATGGGAAGGCCTTGCGGGGAAGAACAATGGGAAAGTTTTGTGACTGGGAGGGACAACAGAGAAGCTATCGACACGCAACTCATTAGGGAAGGGTCGTTGGTAAGAAGGAGAGTCGATCGATAGAGGTCCGACACCGGTAAGAGGGTGGTAGTAATCCACGGTTGACTGCCCATACGATATACCCTCAATGAGGATCTTAAGGACGTCTTCACTCTAGATACGCTCTAGTCTCGTGACAAGAAGGTCTCAGACTAGAATATAGGGATAGACTCTTCAGCGGAGGGAGGTCTAGTGCTGGAACTACACCAGAAGGATCAAGCGGAACAACCTTTAGAAAACCGGTAGGGAAGAGGGGAACCAACAATTGTTAGGGTGTAAAACGGCAGCAACTATGGGAACCTGGGGCTATAGATCTACACGACAAGTATGCAATAGTTCTTTATGGGAAAAAAATTGTTGGGCAGTCAACAACAAATAAATTTTCCATGGAACAAATCTCTACGGGTGGAAAAATAGCAGGAAAAAAAATTGTTGGGAAATTGTCACTTGCTTTCTGGAGGCTGACAGAGTCAAAGCTCCCTGCTCGGGAAGGGCCAGCCAATAGGCTAAGGCTATAGGGAGAGTGATACGCCTAAAAAATGACAATTTTTTCATATATATTTCATGTTAAATTTTAATAATTTTTAATGATATTACACTTTAAAGGAAGATATTTTGCATATTTTTGGTTTCAGGGACGAGAAATGGAGTTTTGGAGAAAAAATTGCAAAAACGGTGTAATTTGGAGCAAAAACGAGCAAGAAAGAAAATTTTGTCTTGACACATTTTGATGTCTTTCTATACTTAATCTCATTTACACTTCTCACACATTTTTGAATGAAATTATACTTAAAAAAAAGGTTGTTTCCATGTTTATTTTTTAGGTATATCTGTTAGTAACGAAACACAACTGAAACGAGCTAAAACGGAGCAAAACATGAGAGTTGTTGCAGACCAGCGCTGAAGGCGCTTAGACTGGCCGCGACAGCTCCCGAGTCCAGAGAAGCGACGAAAATTGGGGCCGACAACGCCTAGGACGATTATAGACCGATTTTTGGCGGATTTTGATGTTCTAGAAGGCTCCCAAGTGATTCAAACACCCCATGAAGTGATTCAATGCATCTAGAAATTTCGATAATGCTTTTGAATTAAGAGACAAGTCTTTTGGATGAATAGATTTGTCTCTTGGGAAAA